CATAACGAATGTCTTTGGTTTTCTCCGTACACCTAATTTTCATTTTTTTTAAAGGCTTTTCTGCTTTTCATCAAAGCTTGTCAACTTTTTCTAGGTCAAGTCTTTCAAGTGGCGCAGATGCACCCCCACTGTAAGACTAGAAAGTATCACTGACTCCCAACGATATCAACTTTATTTCTTGTGTCGTTTTTGCTCTCAATACTTTCTCTTAAAATTACACTCTCCTTTATTTCACTTTCTGTTCACACCTTCTTAGTCTTCCCCTTATTGCCCCTAATCTGAAGATCTCAATGAGCAAGAATTAAATGTCTGAGGAATAAACACGATCTCACAACAAGACACAGAAGAGGAGAATGAGCAAAATAAAAATTTCTGTCTGATGAAAGCTCCCTTGACAACTACAGCAGCACTGATAGGCACCGCTGAAATAATAGGAATGATACTCCAAAACAACAGCCAAGAAAATGTTATGAAACAGAAAAAAAAAAAAAAGTCTAAATTGATCTTTCCAAATGAAAATTTCACTGTCAAGTGAGGAGTATAACAAAAGCTTCCTAGGCCAGCTGTATTACCACTACAACAAAAGATAAAACAACTACTGAAAAATACCACCAAATCTGAAAAATTATGACCCGTTTTAGGAATACTATAGGCCTCAACACTGCAGAAGAGGAAAGGAGTCTATTGGTTCAGGGTGGGAGGGGGGGGAGAGATCAGATCTTTGTTACTTTTTAAATCTTGAATTGCTCCCAAATGTGTCAACAGCAAAACAGCTACTAACTTCACTGAGAGCAAGATAAGACCCTAAGGGTATGTCTACACTGGGATAAAAAACCCACGGCTGGCCAGGGTCAGCTGACTCCGGCTTGCAGGGCTCAGGCTCCAGAGCTGAAATACTGCTGTGTAGATGTTCTGGCTCAGGCTGAAGTCCAAGCGAGGGTGGAGGATCCCACAGCTCTAGCTCCAATCCAAGCCCAAATGTCTACACAGCAATTTTTAGTCCCACAGCCCAAGCCCCACAATCCCAAATGAGCTGACCCAGGCCAGCCGCGGCTGTACCAGGGTGCGTTTATCCTCATATAGATGTACCCTTAGTGGCATATGTGCAAATATCTACCACTGTTCAGGTGGCAACCTACTAAGCAGGTTCAGCAAAGAGGCCAAGAAGTTAACGAACACAGACAATGAATGACCCTCTCCCCCTAGAAGAGGTCCCTCTAGGACAATACTGAGGCAATCCTGGGGAAGAAGATGAACTTTGTGATTAAGAAAGAGAACTAGAAGCAGGGGCACGTGCAGGAATTTAGATTTGGCCCCTTTTGGAGGGGCACATTCTGGGCCCTCCCCCCATTCCCTGAGCTCACTCTCCCCCATCCCCACCTGGCACTGGGAGGACCTCACTGCCCCCAACTGCCCTGGCAGGAGCTCACTCTTTCCTCTGCCCTGCCTTTGCATCCCTGGGGCCGGACAAGTTCTGTGCCCCCGGCCACAACTATTATTGGGGGGGCTTTGCCCCTGTTTGCCCCCCCTTGTGCACACCCCTGACTAGAAGCCAGAACATTTGGGTTCTATTCTTGGCTCTGCCAAAGGCACTCTGATTTGGAAAAGTCACTTAATCCCTTCATGCCTCAACTCCTCCATGTATAAAATTAGGATAATTACAGCCACACTGGGGTGTTCAATGTCCGTAAGGCATTTTGAGATAATCAGATGGAAGTTGTATTACTAGCGCTGTGGCAGAAATTGGTGCCTAGACACTATCACGATGGACACACATTGGAGACACCCACATTAGATGAGGGGGGGCCTCATTTTGAGCACACTAACATATTGTAGGGTTGAAAGTTTTACTCACACTATTGGGCTCATGAGAACTCTACAGATCTAATTCTTCCCATTAAAAAGCTGTGTATTTCTCCTTTCTTTTATACCATGCATTCAGTAGGCCCTACATGTTTGTATTTGTTTGGTTTTTCCATTTAAAAAAAAAAGCATAGAAATAAAATTAGCTGATGGTTTCCTGTTGGCCTGGGAGGGACACGTTCACGCTGCCTCCTGCCACTGGGCAGCTGGAGCAAAATCTAGACCCCTCAGCACAAGGCGCAGGAACTCTGGAACTCATTGCTAGAGGCACCACAGCCAAGAGTGGTGAATTCCAAAAATGGAATGAAGATTTATATAAATAAGAATATACTGAGTTAATAGTAAGGATTTAAAAAAAAAAGTAGTGAAGTTTTGAAAGGGATAAACTCTCCAGCTCCAGAGTATAAGTCAATCTCTAACTATTGGGCATTAGGGAAAAATGACCCCCTGAGCAAGTTATTCTATACTGCCTGGCTACTACAGAGTTTTTTACACCTTCCTCTGAATCAGCGCTACTGGCCACTCTCAGACAGGAAACTGGACTGGACGGCCTGCTGGTCCAGAATTTGATAAAAGTGTTTTACGTTGGAAAATGATCCATCAAAACTAACTTTTTGCAGGAAATAACTGATTTTGACAGTCCAGAATGAAATGTCAGGTAACAGAGTGAGTAACTGACCCCAGCCCAAAACAGCTAATAACCCTGTGGTTAAGGCATTCATGTAGCATGTGGGAGATCAGGTTCAAGTCCCTGCTCTGCAGCATGGCCTTCAACCTGGCCCTGCCACAAGCCCTGTAAGTGCCCTGACCACCAAGCTATTGTGGGGTGAGACACTCACAATCTCATCTGTGGGAGCTTTTCCACTTAGTATAAATAATTAAATAGTCACTACAGCAGGGACTTGAACCTGGTCTCCCACCTTCCAGGTCAGAGTCCTAACCACCAGACTATTGAATCTAGGACTAGCATACACAAAAACTTTAAAAGGTCTCAGTTTAGCCATCTGGTTATTGGGGAGGGGGGGGGGGAGAAGAGAAATCAACCTCGCTCTCTAAATTTTCAAAAAGTCTCAGTTTCCTCCCTGTATGGAACTGGAGTAGGGTGACCAGACAGCAAGTGTGAAAAATCGGGACAGGGGGTGGGGGTTAGGGTAATAGGAGCCTATATAAGAGAAAGACCCCAAAATCGGGACTGTCCCTATAAAATCGGGACATCTGGTCACCCTAAACTGGAGACATTTTTAAATTGTGAAAATTTTCATGGGATAGGAAAATTGTTTCCTGCCAATCTGTACACTCGTCTGCTCTAGTATGACCTCTGCACCTACCATTCCGGCAATAGGTTGCTTTGATAAACATCTGAGAGGGTTCTGAGCTATCAACCTCCTGGAAATTCAGTTCTGAATTAGAGTTTGGGGGGTTCAGATTAGAGGCTCCAATTCAGTCTCACTGCACAGATAGGTCCAAGTGCCAAAGTTTGGGCACGTTCAGGCCCCCATACTGCTTTGAGCCCACCTCTAGTTAAAATACACTCAGACTCTACAGCATTGCACGTGAACTATCAAATCCGGTTAGAACTGTGCCAAACAAATCACATGGCTAAATGAAGGCAGCAGTGAGTGCAGAGCATGCTGTCCTCTCCCTTTGCCCAGTCACACACTGCAAGCCTGGCACTCTGCATGCAACTGGGCTGGGTTTGGTTAGTGCATGAAAGGGAAGAGGTGGAGGACTCCAGTCCTCCCTCCCCAGCACTAGCCCAGCACCAAACTGTACCTCCTTTTCTCAGAGAGACAAGAGGGGGTGACGTTATATCTTTTATTGGATCAACTTCAGCAAGACCGGAAGAAGAGCTCATGGTGGCTTGAAAGCTTGTCTCTCTCACCAACTGAAGTTGGCCCAACAAAAGAGATTACCTCACCCACCCTGTCTCTCTAATATCCTGGGACCAACACAGCTACAACAACAACACAGCAAACTGCCCAAGTAGGAACAGTGTGCTCTCTCTGCCCCACACCTAGGGTTCTACCTGTTACATGGGCCACACCTCTCCCTCAACTAGCTGCTATTCGTCTGTTGCATGCACATGCTCACCCAATCCATGCACTCCCTCCCGCCCCATACACCCAAAAGCAGCTTATCCTCTAACAAACTACTACTTATAAATGCTAGACTTATTCTTATCAGATGCAGACCTTGCCAACCCAATTTGCAGCAGCCTCATCAGCCAAGGGCAGAGCCCTCAGACCATCATCCAATCTGGTCAGAGGGCAGCCGTCAGTGATGTGTGACATTGTCTGTCTTTGGTCAGGGTCGCATGTGGGACCCTCTTGGCCCTCCCGTGTGAAGGCTGGCCGCACACTGACTCTGGCCTGTTCGAAATCGGTTCCGAAGGGCCCACGGCTCGGCTGAGAAGTAGCTACTACAGAACCTGATGAAAGGGAAGCTCCCTCCTCCTGCCCCACACCTGGTAGAAAGACAATGCAGCAGGAGGTGTGCAGAGGACCCCTTCCCCCAAATTACTGATTTTACGAGGCAGGATAAACAGGCATTGCACAGAGGACACTCCTCCCCTCCCCACCCACCCAACCTGTTGCGGCAGCTCGCTGACAGGCAGAGCCTGCCTGCATGGCAGGGGACAGACACACAGACACACCCCCAGCTCTCCGTTGCTGCTGCCAGTGGCAGGAGCATGCACCGCACGCAGATCTCCCCCCTCTCATCCGCAAGTGCCGTCCCTCACCCCCAAGCACACACCGAACAGCGGCCCCTTCCCCACACTCCCCAGCTGTTGCTCCTGAATGCCAGGAGCGGGCGGGGGGCACTTCTTCTCCACCCCCCCCACCCCTGCTGTTGCTAAGTGACAGGAGAAGCAGGCACCGCCCAGAGAACCCCCAAATCCTCTCCTGCTGCAGCTGCTGCAAAAGGACAGGAGGCGCATGCCCCTTTCTTTACCACGCCCCCCCCCCAACCTGTTGCTGCTGAATAGTATGGGGTGTCCACGCTGCCCCGGAGTAACAGCCCCCCCCCACGATGACAGGAGGCGCGTGCTGCCCGAGCTGCAGCGTGCGGACAGCGGTCACTTCAGACCTGTCATCGCCACCAAGAGGGGGAGGGAGGCAGGGCGCAGAGGCACTTACCGGGATGTGCACTCGCAACATGCGTCTCCTCTGGCTGGAGCCTTTCCTGCTGCCGCTGCTGGAAGCATCTTTCTTCTTGGTGTCCATGGCAGTGCTTCCCATCCCGCTCAACGAGGCTTGACTCCAGAGGATGGCTCCCAAGCAAGGCTCCTCTTCCACCTCCCACCACTGTCCACCACCAGCAGCCAATCTGGGCTTGTTTTCAAACCCTCGGGAACTGGGGAAAAAGGGGGTGGGGGAACCAAAGGGGAAGGGAGGAGTTTCTCCAGCTGCGGTTTTTTAAATGGGGGCTGGGAGAGTTGCTAGGGGCCCCCGTCTCCTCCAGGAGCAAGATCGTGAGACATCCTTCAAACTGCGGTTCAGTTTATAACTCTTCCGCCGTTCAAAAATATCCGGAGACTCTTGGTGGGTGAGAAAGTTTCCTTCCCTTTGCACAGCCAAGTGACATGTCCCCCATTACACGTGCCCCGGGGAGAAAGAGGAAGGTGCAGAAGTTGAGCTCGACACCGTTTGCAAATAAATACAATCCCTGGAGTCCGGATCCTGCGACTAGGTCCGTCCCCCTCTGTCAAACAGGAGGCGGTGCAAGCGCTCCCTGAAATGTGCCTTCCTCTGTGCAGCGAAGCAGGGCCGGAGCTACGAGAAACTCACGCAGGCCTGGAGAAGGCGGTGGTGCAAACAAACATTGCAATGTGGTTCCCCTTTCCTGCTGCAAGCCGGAATCCCAGGCAGGACGGATGATAACCAGGGACTGGAACTGCCAGGAGGCAGCACCCGGCCTTGAGGAGGAGGAGTTGCAAATGCTCTTTGCAATCTGGCTCTGCTGAAAACAAGAGGCTGCGCTTAACAGGAAGCGCAGCAAATCATAAAATACTTTCTCCCCGAGCTGACACTGCTCCCTTTACGTGCGTTCGTCTCCCGGGCATCTGCAAAAGCACAATGCTCCAGTCCAGGCAAGAACTCCCAGGCGTCCGGATCTTCCCTAATAATTCATGATCTGACGGCGACCGAGAGAGTGTAGCCAGTGTTTGGGAGGGGGGCTGTGAAGGCTGTTGCTAGTTTGCAGTTGCTGATGCACCAGGGACGGGCTGGATTTCACCCCTTCACATGAAAAAGAAACAGCGAGGTTCTTCCCCTCCCCGCCCCTAGGCAAACCCCAGTCCCTGGGATTTCTCGGGCATGCCAGAAATACAAGGGACGGGGATTAAGTTCTCTAGTGCCATCAACCCAGAGCCTGCAAAGGGCACTGTGTACACACCCCCTTCCTCCTCCAGCCGCACTCATGAATCTGGCCGACGGGCGGCTCTCTCACCACCCCTTGCTTCCAGGAGCCATCAACACAGTTGTTGCGCAATTTGTAACACTAATAACAACCTCATCGCTGCAATGACCACAGAGGGCCGGTAGGTGGCGGTGACCACAGCTAGCAGCAACGCTCCTGCCAAACTATCAAATACCGAAACTCAGAGCTCTCCAAAGTGGGGGCCTGGAGGAACATAGCGGGGGGCGCCGGGCGCCTCCCCCGCCTTGGGGCTCACAGCTGGAGCCCCCCACTGCACCCAGCCTCACAGTGGGATGCACCCGGCACACCGGGGCTGACGGGGGAGCCCCACAGTTAGCTGCCTGGGGCTAGGGTTGCCAACTTTCTATTTGCAGAAACCAAACACCTTTGCCCCGCCCCCTGCCCCACCCTTTCTCTGAGGCCCCCCAACTCACTCCATCCCCCCAGTTGCTCATTCTTCCCCACCCTCACTAACTTTCACTGGGCTGGGACAGAGGGCGGGAGGGCTCTGGCTGGGGGTGCAGGCTCTGGGGTGGGGCCAGAGATGAGGGGTTTGGGGTGCAGGACAGGGCTCTGGGCTGAGGCAGGGGGTTGGGGGGGCTCCAGGGTTGGGCCGGCTCCAGGGTTGGGCCAGAGATGAGGGGTTAAGGTCCAGGAGCGGGATCCAGGCTTGGGCAGAGGGTTGAGGTGGGGGGGGGTGAGGGCTCCTGCTGGGGGTGTGAGCTCTGGGGTGGGGTTGGGGTTTGAGATGCAGGAGGGGGTTTGGTGTGCAGGCTCTGGGCGGCACTTACCTCAGGCAGCTTGTGGGAAGCAGCAACATCTCTCTCCAGCTCCTAGGTGGAGGCGCAACCATGTAGCTCTGTGCTCCGCTCACACCTGTAGGTGCCACCCTCTTAGCTCCCATTGGCTGCTGTTCCTGGTCACTGGGAGTTGCTGAGCTGTTGCTGGGGGCGGGGGCAGCGTGCAGAGCCCCCGTGGCCGTTCCTCTGCCTAAGAGCCAGAGGGAAAGAGAGAGATGCCATCAGCTTCCTGGGAGCTGCACGGAGCCAGGTAGGGAGCCTGCCTGCGCCGCCAACCAGACTTTTAATGGCCCAGTCAGCAGTTCGGACCACAGCCGCCAGGGTCCCTTTTCGACTGGGCATTCCGGTCGCAAACTGGATGCCTGGCAATTCTATCCGCGTGGATCGAGCCCTACAGTTAGGTGCCTGGGGCTTTCAGCGGGAGTGCCACCTCCAGCCGCCAGGGGCTAATAAAGGGAGCCCCGCCGCCAGCCCATCATTTCTACAGCAACAACTACCTTTCCCTTCTTCCTGGTTAGTATCATGTGCTGTCCTAATAACAAGCAGTTGTGCAGTGCTTATTCCGCTGGTGAGTTTGATATTTTTTCATATCATTGTGTGGTGAAAAATGGATCGTACTTATTGCCAAACGATGGTAGTGTTCCAAAACAAAAGCTAGAAGCTGAAAGGGCTAAAGTTGATACAAAGAAAAAATCTGCAAAACCAAGAAAATATGATTAAACATATTTGGATTTTGGTTTCACTTCCATTGCAGTTAATGGAGAAATTAGGTTTCAATGTGTAGTGTGTGCAGTAACTTTAGCAAACAGTAGCCTGAGGCTAACAAAATTAAGACACCATTTGGAAACAAAACACAGCGATCTGGTAGGAAAGAACAGAGATTTTTTTCCGAACGAAAGCTACAAGAAATTAATAAACAAAAAAACACAATGAAAAATGTGGTCTCCACCCCTGCAAGTGCTTTAAAAGCATCGTATCAAGTTGCATACCACATTGCCAAGAATAAAAAGCCTTACACAACTGGGGAAAAACTGGTTCTCCCAGCTGCAATTGACATTTGCAGGATGATGCTTGGTGACAGTGCGGCAGAGAAGTTAAAAATGATCAGCTACCAAATCTCTGACATGTCAGAAAATATCAAGGCACAGCTGATCTCTCAATTGCAGTCCAGTTTATTTGCAATCTGGTTGGAAGAAACAATGGATATAGCAAAAGAAGCTCATTTAATTGCTTATATTCAGTACTCACACAAAACATCAATATTGGAAGATGTTTTGTTCTGCAAGCTAATTAAGATGCATGCAACTGGATCTGAACTGTTTAACATTTTGAACAACTTCCTAACTTCTCATCAGTTGAAGTAGGAAGTCTGAATCTGCATAGATGGAGCCCCTTCTATGTCTGGAGGTAGGGCAGACTTGAAAGCCAAAGTGTTTGAAATTGCTCCACACATATCATGGACGTGGACTCATTGTATGCTACACCGCAAAGCTCTTGCAACTTGAAACATGGATCGGGAACTTACAGATTTTCTGAGTTCTGCTATTAAAAGCATGAACTTTATCAAGACACAGCCCACAAAGGCACGTCTCTTTGCAATGCTTTGTGCAGAAATGGGAGCGGAGCATGATGGAAGTCAGATGGCTATCCGGGGGAAAGTGTCGTAACGCATTTATGAAAGGAGAAATGAAGTTCGACTTTTTCTATTGGATTTGAATTTCAGAAATGCAGACACACTGAGTGATCCCCACTGACTTTACTTTTGGCTTACTTTGCTGATATTTTTGACAAACTGAATTCTCTAAATGTCTCATTGCAAGGAGCGGAAAGTACTATTTTTGACCTGCACAACAAGATATTGGCATTCAAGAGAAATCTAGATCTCTGGAAAACAAAGATCAAAACTGGTTTAAGCATTCCCTTCTAGTTGTTAACTGATGCCATCGAGGAAACAGAATCTGAACTATTGAGTTTTGTGGAGCCAATCAAGAATAATTTGACTTCTCTCAGAGCCAGTTTGGATAAATATTTTCCTGAAGGAAATGCACCCCTGAATGACTGGATTATCCAACCTTTTCTAGTTGAGGCAGTGACCTTGTCCCATCTCTCAAATGACATTCAGGAGAAGCTGATTGAACTTCAGAGTGATAGGACATTGGAAATTCAATTGAAAAAAAAAGTCTTTGGGGAATTTTTGGTTGAAACTTGGCTTAGAATGTCCAGCTTTGTCAGTGTTTGATCAAAGCTCTTTTACAGTTTGGTTCATCTTATTTGCATGAGATCGGATTCTCTGCGCGGCTGTGCTAAAGACAAAGTACCACTCAAGACTGGAAGCGGAGGACAACCTCAGAGTGTCAGTTTCAAAAATCTCCCTAGGAATTGATAAATTGTCCACAGAGAAACAGGCACACGCTTCACGTTAAGTATCTGTGTATTTTAAATTTACAGGTGTAGGCAATTTAATTAAAGTTCTTTTAAGTTCTGTCTTAGGTTTGTGAGTAAGCTATCAAGCATACTTTTGCATGTGCCTATTTTTGTCTGGGTTGGGGCATCCAAAAATTGTAACTCAAGATGGGGCTCAGCTCAAAAAGTTTGAAAACCACTGGTATAACTACTATAGATCGCAACAGATACTTTGATGCAAACTGCACTAGCAGCTAGCTTCCTTCTCTGTTGCTGGAGAGAAACGTGCCAAATAGAAGAGGGCCTCAGTCCTTTTCTTAAATCTATCATATTTTCCACTCTCTCCCTCCAACAAGCTCTCATACTCCAATGCATTTTCAATTACGTTAGAGGAACAGTCAAAATTTCTTTATTGAATATTAGAAACAAAGCCTTTTAAAAATCCATTTCACCTGTCACTATTTATGTTGTTTGTTTTTTGCATTTCTCTCAATGCTGACAAGGGAAATCAATAAAGTCAGTTCCACCTTTGTTTACAGTCAGGTTCGCAGGGCTGTGAAGTTTGGGTTGCAAACACTGCAGGGGAACCTTTGTTTGTTTGAAAACCCAAACTGTTTCAATTAGAATGCTCAGAAAAATTCATCCCAAATCTCTCTGCTGGCCTTGTTTTTACAAATCTACATCTTGGGCCAAAATTTGAGTTGTGTGGTTGATCACTGTTCTCTCCCACAAACAACCTTTGTTCTGTGTCATAGCTTTCAGAAGTTGGCACGTATTCCATAGTAATAAAGGTTGCCCCTGCTACCAGAGGATCTGAACCTGCAAACAGTTACACACAAGCTTAACTTTACACAGGTGAGGAGTTCCATTAAGTTCAAAGTTATGCATGTGTGTATTTGCAGAAACTGGGTCAGAGTTTCCTCTATCACAATTTAGATAACGTCAGGGCAAGCTACAAGGCAATGATTTGCTACCAGTACTTCAAAACAGGGGCTCCCAAAAAACATCTCCTTAGCTTGTGAAAAAAATAGGCGTGTGTGGTTGCTGAAAGGACATTTATTTGCTTCCTTCCTTATGGAAAGGTCTCAGAATTTAATAGGTATTAAACCAATACAGGGAAGACATTTAAATAGGTTTCTATAGAAATTGCTATAAAAACGTATAGCTAAGAATAAAAAACTAGAATGTTTTTTGTAGACGGTTTAAACCATTGTAGCCCACAGAGCTAGCTTTAGCATTTATTTTATTTAGCGATAATGCAAGTAACCTACAGGACTGTATCCTGTAAGACATTAACTTAAGCAGTTAGGATGAGGCTTGAGGCCTATGAACTTCGGCCGCCACACTTAAGTTTTGGGGAACTGTGAATAGAGTGTTTAAGGGGGAAGTTTATACACAAAAACATCAGGCAGCCACGGGGATATGAACTAACACAAGCTTTTGGATATTTTAGGATAGAAACATCTGCAGATGTCTCACCACAAGAGTGCCATGGCAACAAAGTGACATAAGTTGAAATCATTAATATACTAACCTATAGGAGAAGGGCACACCAACATTAGTAGGATGAAGAAATACAAATAAGGAAGAGGGGAGAAACCGCTACTGAATATGCATTAGGCACAGTGGAGTCAGAGTTTGGGTAACCAAAAGTCTCATTGTGCTGGTGCCAGGATTTAATAACAATGTTGAACATGACTTGTCCTCTTCTCCACTGAGCTCAAAATAGTGTTCATCATTGTATCATCTAACTCAGTGGTTCCCAAACTTTAACAGTCCTTTCACTAAATTGTGAAATCTCGTGAACCCCCTCCTAAAAATGAATATTTTCAGGGATTTAAGTTTAAATTTT